CATCGGTTCTTTGACAGTTCTTAGTGAAGTCAGAAGCTGGAAAAAGAGNGGCTGAGGAAGTGAATGTATTTCAATCAGAACTAAATATTCATCTACTCGTCAAAAATAAGCCAAGCTTAGTTCTACGAATTCCTTTACAAATATTTTTCAGCTTGTCTTTCTTCGGGTCTGTAACGTCATAAATAATCAATCGCGGAAATCGATAATCGAAAACCCAATCGATGAGACGCAACGGCCGAGAGCGTTGTTGTCGACCGACGAGGTGAGCTCCGTCTAGTTAAACCTCACTTTAAAAAACGTTTTCTCCAAAATTTGGACGAGCTGTACGAGGAAGTTGGAAGAAAAAACTTAGAGCTGTTTTGAAGAAAACGGCGAAAATGTGATTTTTAGCAAAATTGAGGTTTACAACGACAATTAGTAAAAAAAACTTATTCTACGAGTTTTTAAGATTTGATGCTGATCTTTCGTAAGGCTCATACGCAATACTTGGAAATAAATATGTGAAAACTTCAAGGCAATCCATTTAATGCTAATGTTTCTACAGCGCGATGTCTTATATGCTTCAAATTTTGGATCGAATTTTCAAGCTGCGTCATTATATACAGGCTGCATTAGTACTAGATGATAAGATTCTGAGAATTTCAGAAAAATCGTACCTGAGGATAAGAGAAAAAAAAAACTGTTAGAAAAATAAAAAAATAGCACTGTTTGATTTTCGGCCGTATTAGGCTAAACACTTCAAAAATCGTGAAATAAAATACACTGTTAGAATGTAGGATAATCAAAGCACATTATGCGAAAAATCCAGTGACATTGGCGCACTAGTTTTGCGAAGCGAGCGAGAATAAAATTAACTGGAATGATAATTGGCAAGTAAAAATTATGTAAAACTAGGTAAAGAACCTGCCACTGCAATATCTATTTCTTATCTATCTGTTGAACTCACTAGAAAGATTCGAAACCGTTAGTTCCTTTAGGTTAGCCCTACTAACCTTCAATTGNGCAGCACCTTATCCTTCAATTATTTTAAGACCCTGAGTGTTGGTCTGGCTAAGACCCGAACCACAACCTCCTGCCTGAAAGTTTAATGCTTACCCTGTTAAAGGTTATCAGACCACCACCATTATCAATAGCGCTATGTTCCACAGGTTTATCATGGCTTGGGTCAAAGCTGCTAAAGTTTTCTGCTACAACTGATGCTTCAAATCCCTAAGAAAAACAATACATAAGATAGCAATGAATTGCTTTAATGGATAGTTTATAAGAATAATGAACAGTACCACAAATTCCTGGTTAAAAGCTTCAGACAATTTTGTAATAGTTTTTGGGTGGGGTCATTATCATGGAGCTTATAAGAAGGAGGGGAAAATGTCTGTAATTATTTTTTTAAATGTTTAATCTTACCCATTTTAATATTCCATTTTACGGTTCCGTGCATTGACCACGAATAATAGTTCTAGGCTGAGGTTGAAGTTTTTTTTGTTTTTTTTTTTAACATTTTTTATTATTATTTGTCATTTTTATAAATATAACAATACAAAAAAGGTTGAAGTTGCCGCACATGATAAAAAGTATAGTTTTGCCATGTTTGGAAAATCCACTGAACAGAACTATAAAATAAAGTATTGAACAACTGATTGCTCATGTCAGCAACAATAGACCTCTTTATCTTCATTTGTTATTCACATTACAGACCATGTGATGCCACTCTTGGGAGTTGATTTTTTCATTTGATTCTTTTCTAACATGTTCGTCATAAAAGAACAATTTTCAAGGGAATGTCATGTGATCTGAAATGGGCAATTTGCATATGAAGGGAAAGAAGTCCATAAAAGCTGAATTTTGAAAATTTAAAACCAGAGAAAAATCCTCGTGGCAAAGGATAGAAAACAGCACATCAAACAAACTCTATATAGGCTTTACAGCATCATGTGATGGCAGCCATGACAGGAGGCAGGAACAATATTGAATCTGGTCTAATCTGATTTACATGAGAAAGAATCCAGTTAATAGACTTTATTGTTTTGCCTACTGTCATGGCTGCCATCACGTGATGGTGCAAAGCCTCTATTCACAGGTGGCGTCCACAGGACTCAAAGCAGCGACCCCTCCCATAGGACTCACAGTGTTGTAAGGCCAAAGTTTTACCACACAGCGCCCTAAACATACAGAAACATACCTTTGGTAGAATATACTGATCAACAAGCTTGAATCTATAGCCACCAATGAGCTGCCCCGGATCATCTGGAGTAAAACTGACATTGACTACCTCAACCTGCAAGGTCAAGGTCAAAGTTCATCACTTTTTTTTCACAGCAAGGAAAGAAGGACCAAGCAGGTTTAACCTCTCAATTGAAAAGGATTCAGAAACATTGAATTTCTTTATTTATGAATACAGTTGTATTTACTTTTCTGCCGCAAGTCATTTCATCTGCAAGTCTTTTTGCTGGCTGTAGATCAGTTTAGCGTGGTTTGTCCTCTTATTCACCACAATATGACGTCAACAGTTGGTCAAAATGTTATGTACTCATGAGGTGAAGCGGAAAAAAGTTTAAAAGAAAAACAGTTTCAAGTGTGTGCTGGCTCTATGTGCAAGTGATTCATGATTCATTGATATGTCCTCTTATATACCACAGCTTCCAACCAATCAGAAAGCAGGGAAATCTACATTTGCAGCGAAACAGAATATTAATGAGAATCCAGGTACATACCTTAGATACACGGTCATAGAGTCTTACGACCAAACCATGTTTAAAGCCATCAGAATTGCTGTCAAATACACCAAGTTGAGTGACCACTATAGGAATGTTGACCTACAAAGAACATAACTCTTATAAATCTCACGTTCCGATTGCTTGTGAGTTCTACAATAGCCAACTTTCAATATTCTGAAGAGATA